TGGGAAAAACTTTTACATAGATAAAAATGTGCATAAACAGCCTGATCTCACGTAACTATTTTAGGTATTGTCAGTTAATTGGCTATTTTGCATTAATTTGTACAAGTTCAGTTGTATGAAAATGTATGATTTTAAAAAGGAGGCATGGCACTCAACCCCACCTCTAAACCCAACCATCATCAGGGATGATCAAATTGTACTTAATTGCACGAATGCTGTTGAAGGATTCGGATTTCTGCTTTCCAATCCGTCTCATCATGGACCAACATTTATCCTTTTTATCATCCTGTTTCTCATCATTTGTTTTATTACATATAATTATTTGATTATTTGAATGAGTATTTACCTTTGAATTGATTTTGACTAATGAATAAGTTAACACATTACTTAATATAAGAATGTTCAGTGCATTTGCCTGTCTCTTTATAACTACTTTCAGGAGCCACCAAACTAGGTCAGAGGTCTCTGAGACCTAGAGTGGAACGGAAGGCTGAGGACTGGAAGCAACTGTTTTGATTGTTATTTCTATGAGTTAATACTATCTAAAATGTTTAAAGCAGGGGTCTCAAACTCGCGGCCCGCGGGCCATTTGCGGCCCTCAGTGCAATATTTTGTGGCCCGCGCTGACCGCTGTACATTGACAGAATCAGTGGAGCGCTCCACGCTCCGCTGATTCTATCCGTACACATCGGTCACTGGGATTCCCCGCCTGCCGAAGTGACGGGAGGGAACTCGCGCCAGCCAGAACCAAGGTAAGCTGTTCCCGCCCCTGCCTGCCACTTAGCTACCTATCTGCAGCCTGCCACCTACCTAGCTACAGCCTGCATCTTATATATATTATAGGTAGATACAGACTGGTACAGACTGATGTGACTGGAGTGGGGTGGGGGTGTTTTATTTATACATATACGCCTTTTTTTAGGTGAGGGCAGGCACGTGCACACATAGGGCTCAGTCTGTGCAGAGCACATGCCCTTTTTAGTCTTGGATAGAAAGTGCCCTTCCAAAATGATCAAAAGTGCTCCCGCGACGCGGCACACCTTCGGTCCCGCCCTTCAGTAGGCGCGCGACAACACAGCGGATCAGTACGCGCGCGACAACACAGCTGATCAGTACGCGCGCAATACCACCGCTCTTCAGTACACGTGCATCCACTCTACAGATCTGCACCAATCACCCCCCCCCCAAGTTCCATACTGAGGGTCTCAACTGCTTCCGCTCTAAAGCCAAATGTGGTTCAGATTTGTGAGCAGAAGGGCTGTCAAGTCTCTGGCAGCAAGGAGTAGGCAAAAGATGCCATGTTCAGAAGAACTGTTCATAATCTTCACTCAATGTTTATTAATGTTCAGGACACTTCATGTTCATTAATTAAAACTGTTAATAATGACATTTGAGGACTTTTTTTTTGTGAAATCCCTTATGCGGCCCAGCCTCACCCAGACTTTGCCTCCTGCGGCCCCCAGGTAAATTGAGTTTGAGACCCCTGGTCTAAAGTGATTTAGCTATTTTTACGGTTAATTCTTTTAAAGTGATTTGACTTTTTATTCAAGATAGACTTTGTGTAGTAAGGATATTATAACTACCTGAATGTAGATTATACCGGTTTTTAACCAGTTTTGATAAGGATGGCTGAAAGTACACTTAGCCTTGGATAAGCAACAGATTATTCTTTCAGTGCGTGTGTTCTATTTGATTGTGGATCTGTTTCACAGGTCTGGAGTCAGCTCTAAGCAGTCTAGTGGATGTCTGACATTTATGCTTAAGATATTGTTTAGAATTGTACGCACGAACCCCACGTGAAAATGTTCCTATATCTGTGTTTTAACCAATCAGGTTAGAACACCTACATGTATGACACAGTTACTGATGTTATGTGAGAGTGTAATTGTAAAGGCTTTTGCTGATGAAACTGCAAACTATCTTCAGTAAACTTCATTTATTTATTTCAATCTCTGACTCCGGCTCTTCATCATCTGACAGACTGCTCATTCTTTCGATTAAACTGTATAGCATCCCTACACTATTGTACAAAAGCATACAAATTAGCCACTAAAACAAAAAGTTATGAATTGTTGTGAGATCGTGTTGGCATAAACTATGTTGGAAACAAATTTCCTGAATAAATTTGATCATTTAAAAAAAATAATAAATAAATAATGTGATAAAAATGAACATGATGGGACAGAATTTCATTTTAATTTAATTGCATCTTCATCTTCTGAAGTGCAAGTAATTTATTATATCAGACAAAAACGCACATCGTGGCTTCTACTAGCAAATAGTTTGTTTTCATATTTGGCACCATTGTCAGGAAGTGACAAGTTTGATCAGTTTGATTGGATGGAAACTGAGCTTTATTTGCATGATTTCTGCAACATTCTAATTTTGCACACATGTATTATTAACATATTTAAGTGGAAACATAGTTACACTGGCTTCGTTCGAAACAGCCGACTACTCAGTAGGTACTGCATTTGAATGTAAACACTAGGCTGTTAGAAAACTACGTTCTATACAGTATGAATATGAGCAGTATGAATGGAACCAAAGAGCATAGAATCACCAAGAGGCGACACTCTAGTGCAGTTTGGGAAACTAGATGGCACGGCAGCCATTTTGGAATGAAAACTCCAATAGAACAACAACATATTATAAGTCTGTAAAATAAACTATTTAAAGTTCAATTCAATTCAATTCAGCTTTATTTGTATAGCGCTTTTACAATGTAGATTGTGTCAAAGCAGCTTCACATAAATGGTCATAGTAACTGGAACAGTGTAGTTCAGTTTTTAGTGTTTAAGTTCAGTTCAGTTCAGTTTAGCTCAGTTCAGTGTGATTTAATCATTACTGAGAGTTCAAACACTGAAGAGCAAATTCATCGATGTGTAGCTCTACCAATCCTGAACCATGCGAGCCAGTGGCGACAGCGGAGAGGGAAAAAAAAACTTCACCTGATGGGAGTGAAGAAAAAACCTTGAGAGAACCATACTCAGTTGGGCATGACCATTTTAATTTCTCCGCTGGCCAAAAGTCTTGTGCAGAGCTTTAGTCACCGCGGTGAAGGCTGATGATTGTGATAGTAAGTGCTGTATTGTCGGCTTTCAGGTTGTATATCAGCTTTAATACGCTTTAAAAAAAAAAAGCAGCTGCTTGCTATCGTGACAGCAATAAGATCCAATGCACAGCCGAACGCTTTCACTCCAAAATGGCGGAATCCGGGGCTGTTGCTGGGCGCTGCTGTTTTAATGGAAAGTACTATTGAGTGTCCCTTTTTGGTCATGATCACGTGACATACCTGCGTGAGCTGTGTCGCTTCACTCCCTTTCATGAATTCTCATGCAGCGTGCATCGGATACACACTCCAGAATCTTGCCGGATGGTAGGTAATCTCGCATACTGATTTTCAAATTTTATGAATTCAGACATACTACTTGGCTTGCATTCTGCTTTAGCGCAGTGTTTCTCAACTACCGGGAACATTTTCAGTGGGTCGCTGACTGTGTGGGCAAAAAACCAAGAAAAGTTTAATTTTTAACTTATTTTGCTTATATTGGACTTTTATTTTGAAATACGCGCTCGACAACCATAACGTTTGACATGTGAAATTTCCTTTAATTATAGCAAGTCTTCTTATGATTTATCTGTCACTACTTGTGTATGTCAACAAATAAAAACAAATGAATTATAATTCCTAAAATTATATTATAGTTCCTAAACATTTGGGTCGTGGCTTGATGACCATGTAAAAATGTGGGTCCCATGACCAAACCAGTTGAGAACCACTGCTTTAGTGTACTATATAGTATTGAAGTATGCGATTTTGGACGCAGCCACTGTGTCCTAACAACCTGCCTTGTGACAAAATTCCAGCGACAAGCTGTTGGTCTGTCTGCACCAAACGAGACGTGACATGACAGAAACAGGTAAATACCAGCCACTGCATTGCCAACAAAATGGTAAAGGCTTTTAAATGAGTGAATACATAGTGAACCTCTTTAACATTATTAGTGAGCGACTGATGTTGTTCGTTTGCACTAAATCACAGTTGTCTTTCATTTTAAAACTGTTAATTATTTTATTGTCAAGATCTGCTGCTGCTTTCATTTGTATGGCAATAAATGTCTTTTAAAATTAAATTCAACTCACATTGGGAGCATTTAACACTGAATAAAGAACATAATCTGTACGCGAGGTGGTCTTTGCCATGTTGTTGTTCTGCGGCGACATTGCGGATATAGAAAGCATCTCTGAAATAGAAATTTCACACTTGGCCATCTCAGAAAGTTAGAAATAAAAAGTCTATTAAACATGAAAAAGATGCATGTTGAGGTGCCACGTCACATGTAGTTGGATGTTCCTGGAGAGCCACCTTCCTGCAGATTTCAGTTGCAACCCATATCAAACACACCTGCCTGGAATTATCACGTGGTGTTCAGGTCCTAATTAATTAGTTCAGGTGTGTTTGATATGGTTAGCAGCTAAAATCTGCAGGAAGGTGGCTCTCCAGGAACAGGGTTGGCTACCCCTGAGTTAGGGCATAGTGTTAGTTTAACCCTCCTAGTTCTAATCATCTCACTCTGAGCAAGATTCAAACAACCATTGAAGGCGTGTGAGTCACACTGATGAGACCTCGTCTAGAATCAGATGCTAGCCATTGGTGGCTTTTAATGGATGGTCCCTATTATACACACTGCAGAACATGTTTGCTGTTTGATATGCAGTCGGATCCCAAATTGCTAGTTAGAAAGTATGAAGTTCTTGTATTAGAAAGAATGTGTGGTGGATCAACTTCATTCAGCTATGCTGGTTTAAAAGCTGGGCCGGCAATTACAAAACTGACAACAAACTCAAAAGACACTCTTGCTTGTTTTCTTCAGTTGCTCCAGGCTAATATGTAGCCTTAGTATCTATTGTAATGTCTCAATAGCTAGAGGACACTTTCAGTTAGATTCACCCACTTCCTGGACGGAATTCCCCTCAATTTTCAACGTTCAAACCAGTACCTTTTGCAGAAAACATAATTTATTTAGGAATATACTGTGTTCAGGCAGACTGAGCATGTGATTGACCTTGTTTATACAGACAGTAAAATCACTTCACGGAAAAGAAATAGCAAACAACATCATTAAACCTCACAAGTAAGCTGTGCAAGTGCCGTTAAGTTCTCTGCTGGCTTTGTGTTGGGTCCCTTAGTCCGTTTTCTTTTATCTTCAGTAACTTTGAATAGCCGTGTCGAAGCGAAGTGTTGAGAAAATCCATGTGGTTTAAAGTTCACAGGTACAATACATATGCTTGGTTGCACAATCTTTGAAATGTTGTCAGCGTCTATGACGTTTTTGGATGAGCAGGGAAGGGAATATCCGAGAGGTGTATGAACTCTTTGATGATAGTTTTTGACCTCCAGCTTCACCTGAGATGCTGGTAAGTATCTGATATCCACTGTTATGTCCAGCCGAAGTGCAACCTGAACCTCAGGATGATGACATCATAGAGTCAAATCAAAAGGAGCAACAATGACCCTGCCCACCACATACACACACACACACACATACACACACACCCGCTGCTGACAAGAACAACTCTGAATCCAGAGCAATAGTATAATAATATCATAGTGAATTAGACTCTTACATATTTGGCCTTCCATCTATCACAGGGGAAAATATACTCATTCTCAAGTCCTCAATCTACATTTCATCTCTCCAGGACAAAACATTCATTACACAGATTAGCGTGAAGCACTTACTTTGACCTTTGGCCTTCTCAAAACACCGATCTGTGACATCAATAAATGATGTTCGATTTTAAACTCAAACATGTGCTAAGTGCAGGCGGGTCTTTATCAGATCATACTCGAACGAACTTTAACCTCCCCTAATCACCGCGGCACTTTGCTATCTGTGTAAGAACAAAAGCACCACAGTAAAAGCCACCATTTAGCTTTTTTCATGATGTCAGTCACCGCTGGTGGTCCAAGTGCTGAGCGCTATTTGTTTATTTAGTTTTAAATGTCTTTTTCATGTGTTGTCCAGCATTGGTAACTTAGTGTTGGTGTTGTACTTTTGTGGAACAAAACAAAAAGATAAGAGCCAAACGAAAAAGAAAACGAAACAAAAACGGCATGCAGTTAATTCAGCCAACACAAAATAAACAAACCAATGCGTTTACATGTCTTTCCAAGTGATTGTCTTTCATTCTAAACAGAGTGTACACACAAGCAAAGAAACAAAACAATGAACGCGAAACTGAAAGAAAATAAAAAAACAAACCATGTGCGATCAAAGAAAGTATATCAAAATAAAGGTAAAGCACAACAGATCCCGGGCTTGATGTTTTGTTGCCGTTCTTCAGTAGAGTGACCAGGCGTTTAGGAAAACAAGATCCCCCTTGTCTTCGTTTTGTGTTTCCGTGTATTCGATATCTTCATCCTATCAAACAAATGAGGAGAAGCCGGCGATAGGGGCTCGGGAGCCTGGAGCCAAGCTGCTTGGGGGCCGATAAAGTGTGCCGTGCTGACTGGGTGGGTTGGAGCTCTGCTGGGATGGAGTGGGAGTCCGGCTACCCTTGGGCCTGAAAAGGCTGCCAGTTTGGGACTGGCTCTGGGGCGTAGGAGAGCTGAGCTGAGGGGGGAACGGTGGCAGAGGAGGAAGAGGAGGCAGAGGGGGAGGAGGGGCGCAGTGTTCGGGCTCACCCGACTCAGACTCTGTGTAGTTGTAGGCCTGCGCTCTGGAGATTCCCTTCTGCTGCCGGCGCCAGGAGTTGTAGTAGGTCGGGTCGCTGATGTAGTGGTTGACAAAGGAATGGGTCTTCTGGCGGTTGGGGTCCACCTCATATTCACTGTCGCTGCCCTACAGTGGAAAGAAAGGGAACGGGTGAGAAATGGAGAGCGAACTGCTTCTGTAATCTCAGATTCAAGGGAGGAGATGATTTGAGAAGGTGTCCGAGTTCACTCCACAGAATCTAGAATGCTCTAGAAATGATATTCATTTGTCATTTTGACAGCTGGGTCATAAGTTTTCATCAGTTATCGTTACACCATAAATGATATAAAATATTATGTAAAAGTTTGGGGTCAGTGTGGTTTGAGGAACTATTTCAATACCCTTTTTTGGGCAGAGGCATTCTATTTCCAATAAATTACAGGAATAGTTCACACCAACATGAAAGTTGTTTACTCTCCGTCATGTGGTTTAAATACTTTATGAGCTTCTTTCTTCTGTTGAACATAAAAGAAGATATTTTGAAGAATGCTGGATGCTGGGACCCATTCATTTTCATATTAGGAAAACAAATGCTATGGAACTCATTAGTTCTCAGCATCCAGCATTTTTCCAAATATCCTACTTTTTGTTCAACAAAAAAAAAAGACACTCAAATAGGTTATCAAGTGAAGAGTGAGTAAATGGTTGCAGAATTTTCATTTATTTGTAAACTGTCTCTTTAAATTGTACAAAACTGACAACAGTCCTTTTTAATATTAGACAAGGCTTATGTTAATATATTCTTTAAAATGGTTATTTTGATACTGATCCGCAAACTTGTGTTAGCTATAGTTTAGTATATTTGTAATGATTAATAACTGTCAATTGCAGTCTTTTACACTTTACATTGGTGGTTAATGTGAAGAAGTGTAACCCAGCTATCACATATGCTACATTATTTATGCAGTAGTGGTCAGAAAGTAGGTTGAATTTACTTGTCAACTGAAAAAGAGGCTACAGTGAAAGTTAATAAAGGTTAAAAGAACAGAAATGATGACTTGTAAGTGTGAGTTCAGTGAAAATGATCGATTTGAGTTAATCATTCAGTCGCAGAAATTTGAGTTACTTTAATCGCCATCGCATCAAAGTAAAACAAACTTCATGTTACCATACAGTATGAATGTTAGGTAAAAACCTTCTAGTTATAGTATCTAGTTTATAATCTTTAGTTTGATCAAACAATGTGTTGCGACCTCCTATTTATCTTACTCTACTCTCACAACATGATGTAGACCATGATGAACCTCAATGGAAACCTGATTACATGAACAATTTCCAATTCTATTGGTCCACCTTTGGAAACTCTATATTCTCTTTCCAAGTAATCAAACCTTTATTAACTGTAGAAAAGTAGTTGTGAAACGAGCACATTGATTAATCTGTCAAAAATGATCCCAAAATGAAAGAAAAGCAAAACCAAAACAGGGAAAAGAACCTATCTATTATTTAAAATAACCTCTCTACCACTTTACCCTCTGGTACCAGTCACACGCTGAGTTTTGGGGGGTTTGACCATGTATGAATGAACCTAATGGAGAGGATAGGAATGGACAAGCACTAGGAAGCGACTTCCTGTCAATCGATGCACAATGCATTTCCTCACCCATTGAGTTGGAAGAGTTTGAAGGCCCCCAGTCTTAAAGGAGAAAACAAGCGCCTCCTAGAGGTAAACAGAGACATGGGGTTTAAAGCAGTGAAGAATGGGCCCTACATCATTTTCATGGGACAAACAATGGCTGCTATTTTTAAATGGTGCATTACCCATACAAAAAAAAAAAAAGAAAGAAAGAAAGAATTGACATATTGCATGTTTTCTATCAATCATAGTTGCGAAATTACAATAAATCCAGAACACTGTTTAAGTTTGTGCAGAAATATTTTAATAAGCAAAGCATGTTAAAATTAAAATAAAGTATTTATTATTATTTATTTAATTAGCATTACATTTGTAACAATGAAAAAAAATTGCAGGATCAGCATAACAATTTAATAAATATAAAATTTTTAAATTCATTTTATGAATTAGAATTATTGTGTAATGAAATAGAATTCAGTGTAATGAAATCTCTTTTTTGCTTAAGAATATATTCATTTCAAGCATTGATTTTTGTTTTTACGCTTTCTAAATCACAAACAACATTAAAACAAACTGAAACAAGTCAAATAAAACTAAATCAAACCAAACAAGACAAAACAAAAACCACAACTAAGCAAAACAAAACATAAAAAGAAACAAATGTGAAAACCAAATAAACTAAAACATAACCAAACAAAACACAAAAATATCAAAAAACAAAATTAAACCAAAAAATAAAACAAAAACCAAGTTAAAACAAAGCAAAATCAATATAAATACAAAGCTAAAAAAAAACAAGCAAAAACAGTAAAACGATCCAAAAAATCAAACAAGACCAGACAAAACAAAACAGAACAAAACAAACCAATAAAGTAACTAAGAAACCAACCGAACAGACTCTAATTGGACCTGTCTGATAAACATCAGTATATCTAAAAGTACAGTTAAGGAAATAAAACACCATGCTGTCATACCAGCAGGTTTTGTAGCATGAAACATTTTTTTTTGTAAGGGTAATGCGGGCAGGGAGTAAATCTTCTCAACACTTTTTGACACTTTAATGCAGTTCTTGGAACAACGTTGGATAAGTTCCTCATGACGGCTTCCTACACTCTTTGTCAAGACAGGAATCTGCACTAAAACAATGGACAACTGTATAAAGATCTGCTCTCCATTAATATCTTCCACCAGCACCATTTATCACAACAACTTTGGTTTTCTCAACATGACATTTCTGGCTCACATTCTAGAGTTTCACCAAAGATGCATCATAAACTACTAACAAAATGCCAACTGGAGAAGAAAACAGCTTAACATAACAGAGAAGAACCACTATGGCTTGGGGTTTTATGTAGACTTAATCTTCAGCAACACTTTTTGCCTTCCCTGCATTAAGAATTCAATCTGGTAGTGTTCATTTTGAACTTTTAAAGGTAGATTCTGAAAAAATTCTGTTTTATTCACCCTTTGAAGTCTTAGGCTAAATAAGTTTGTATTTATATACAAATGGTCACACTTTACAATCAGGTTCCTTTAGGTATAAAGTACATCCAAAAGGGTTGTTATCACAGAATAAAGCTGTAAAGCACTGTTGTATCAGACAGAAGGGTTTATTCTGCAAAAACAACCATCCTAGATGTACTTCATATTAAAAAATACATATTTATATTAAAAATTATATATAAATATATATATATATATATATATATATATATATATATATATATATATATATATATATATATATATATATATATATATATATATAAACACACAGACAGGTTCAAAGCTCTTGAATTCTTTACTTCAGTTATTCTTTACAACTGCAGAGTATTTGGGCCTTTTCATCAGTAAAGGAACCTGACAGGACAACAGGAGATGGCAAAAAAACTGCTGCTGCTTTAAATTAGACTGACTTCTATTTATCTATTGATCAATGTCCATGAAAAAAAAACCTAATCTAACCCTAAGCCTAAATGTAAAATACAGTAAAAACCCTCTAAATCTGTCGAAACACGTCAATCTGAAGGCAGTTTGGTTTGGTTGCTGGACGGAGCTCACTGACAGGAACAGTGAACAGCTGTTTACTACTGAAACACTACATGCAGCAGTTTGAAAACAATCGCAAGACGTTAATTTGGACAACTATGTAGATATTTTAAATCAATGAACTTGTACAACTCTGATACAGTACGAATCGCAGACCTGAGACACGCCCGAGCTGGTTACTATCATCGTTACCTTTACATTCGTGACATGTTTTTTTTTCCAACTGAGAACATAGTCCAAGTTGATGCGCAGCAGTTGGAAATTTAAGCCACAGTTATGTCTGTAATTAACAGTGAGGCTAGTTTTGTCCGAATTAGCCTGTTCAATCACAGAAAACGGGAAATGCCATTACAATAATTATTTTAATATGACATATTTAATAATGAAATCAAATAATTATAGAATAGTATTTAAGTTAATTTTAAGCGGTCATTTCTTTACATTTAGATTGTGTTTTTGAATGCAGCATTTCAGCATTTTTTTTGTGTCTGTCTATGTGTGTTATAATGAAAAGGCTAAGAATTCACAGATCTCTCTGGTACAGCATTATTGTATGCACACATATGTGCCACACATGCCTGTGTTTAAATTCCAGAGAGGAGAATAGTTTCCCCTAAACCAGCCCCTCGTCCCCCAAAACAAGAGCTGCACAGGCAATGCCAAAGCCTTTCATCCTTTTCCCCCTTCAAATAGCAGAAACATTTTGGAAAAAGCCATATGATTAAATGCAGAACACTGGTTTCTATCTCTATGCATACAAGAAAGTTCCCATTTTCAAATCTAAATTTCATGACATCCCTACAAATTCACAGCTAAATACTTTTTATTTTCTTTAAGCTACGACTAACTTGCTTAGTACATTTCTTTAAAATAAAAAATAGCTTTATTCACATTTATTTAATTATTGACAGACAAAATAAATAAACTATATATATATATATATATATATATATATATATATATATATATATATATATATATATATATATATATATATATATATATATACATACATACACACACACACACACACACACACAAACTCCAAAAAAAGTCAATAACTTTAGTCAAAGTAAATGGTATTTTTAAATATTTCTTTGGGCTTGGATTTTATTAATAAATAGACATTTATTTCTATTTTCTACAAATGAATATAAAAAGATGTAAATCATATCATGATAATTAATACAGTCTATACGGTTTCTCAGCATAAATGACTACACCCCTTTATATCTCTCTTTTAAATGTATATTTTAATTGTAATATTTTCTATAAGGTGCTTTACAATAATACATCTGTGCATGCATTAGATTAGTCAGTACCAAAACCAATACTGGAAATACTCAAACAAACCTTTTGAGAGAAATTATTAAATACAATTTCAATAACCAAGTCAAATCAAGAGAAACATTAAAAAATATACATTTAGGGCAAATTTTGTAGCTTGTAATATGTTTTTGCAATAACACGTTTGAATTCAAATGTATAAACTTTCTGTTCCTGAAGATTTCCAGTGATTTAACTCTTATTTTAATGGATAGAAGTGTTTAATAAAAAGAACACTTCTGTAATAGAACTGTTTATTTATTTTTTTTAAATGCACCAAAATGTATTGTCTATATTCACTGAGAAATGGGTAAAGATATTCATTTTAAAATGGGTGTGTTCTCATTTATGCTGAGCACTGTATATATAAGCCCAAAATAGAAACAAATGTAAAATTACTGATCATGAATTACTATCTTACCCCACGATTGCTTAATATTAAGCGTATAATGATATGAGCCTATTAAATGGCGGTAGGTTTTTAATGAAAGACATTCCAGTCATTCCAGCAAATCCAACAACTCAATAAGCAGCAAACAAAACCCCCTGAGTTTCAGCTTTGAAAGCTTTTTCTGTTCAGCGTGACCTCAGTGAAGCCGAACACACATACTCACACTGTGTGTGTGTGTGTGTGTGTGTGGTCATCAAAACATGTCACAGTGACCCACCCCTGCTGACACAGGAGGGTCTGACAGCTGTTCACTCCCCACAAACATGTTTGTTTGCATTCATTCACTCCTCTAGAAAGTCAAATATGACAGAAATCCTGTCAGCTGTAATATGAGCATTTGGCCAAAACACCTGGATGGAGAATTCAGCTCAAAATGAAAGGCAATTACACTGATGATTATGTAGATGTGACTGAAAAAGAACTGTTCATTTTGTTGTGACAAACTAAAAACAAAAAGACTGGAATTTGGAGGTAAAAATAAATAAAAAACACACAAAATGTATTTATTTATTTACAGTAGGAAAACTGGTCCTGTAAGGTTTAGACAGACCAGGGATTCAGGCTTTATATCTATCTAAATATTGCTTGTAAAAATTATTCATAATTGAATGAGTGTGTATTAGTGCGATGTGATTGCGATGTGATTGTATATCGGCACTGGTGGGAGGAGTGCGTAGTGTCCCACCAGTGATGGTATAAGGCCATATTGCACTGCATTGAGTGTGATAATGCGTTCCTCCAATCAAACCAAACACAGAGTCTTAAACTGCTTTCTTGAACATGACAATGAGTTCACTGTACTCAAATGTCCTCCACAGTCACCAGATCTCAATCCAATAGGATCCAATCCAATGGGATGTGGTGGAACAGGAGATTCGCATCATGGATGTGCAGCCCATAAATCTGCAGCACCTGCGAGATGCTATCATGTTAATATAGATTTAAATCTCTGAGGAATATTTCCAGTACCTTGTTGAACCTATGCCAAGAAGGATTTAGGCAGTTCTGAAGGCAAATGGGGATCCAACCCGGTACTAGTAAGGTGTACCTAATAAAGTGGCCAGTAAGAGTATTAAATATTATTAAAGAATGATACTCAAGAAAGTAAATACTACTAAAAATGTAACAAAAAGGCATTTTAAATGCAATAGTTTGAAAAGTGAAATAATCAAACTATTAATATAAAGACAACCAAACACGAATGCAACATTTAATTTTGTAATTTTTTTGTTTTATGTTAAAAAATGAGTTGCCAAAT